TTGTGAGCCGAGAAAATTGCTTCATAAAAAATAATTGTTAGCAGTTGCCACGCTGATTGGTACCAATAAGCCATTTTTGGGCCAACAGTTCAGGGCTAAATACGACAGGGGGATGAGCGAGCAAGGCTAGAATACACAATGGACAAAAGCAGATCATAGCATCAAAATTTATTTAAGTTTTATCTAACATTGACTGTGTCATGCCCCCCCCCGCCCCAGTTTAAACATGGTCGCGGCTACACGGCCGGGGTCGTGGCTCGCAGATGGCTGCTGGAGCAAACCGCCACTGGCGATGTCAGCGCTTGCGCTCGGTCTTGAAGCAGTACACGGCCGCGGACGTCTTGGTCTCCGCCTTCACCTTGATTCTCTGCCGCTTGTCCTGGAAGAGCAAAGACACGCGGCACCGATGGTGAGCGCCAGCAATTCTCCGCGAGCTGGCGCAGGCGCGCGATCGCCGACGTGCCGTTCGTGTCGGGCGTCGGTCTTGAGAGGTGGCCGGGTAGCTCAGATGTCAGAGCGCCGAGCCAGAAACCCACTGAGATCCTGGCTTCGAGTCCGGGTTTTTTAGCCGCCAGTGACTTAACGGGGGGTTCTCAAGCAAAGCGGAGTCTCAGCCCGGTCATCAATGACCGTGTAAAAAATTTTTTTTACTAAATTCCAGTTCTGAGAATTTAAAATAAAGTTATTTTTACGATCGGTCACCAAATATCTATTGCTTTATAGCCTAATTTATACGATGCTTTGCATTGTGTGTTCTTTTTCATTTGGGCCATGCCTGGCCTCCCATTACGCCGGAAATGGAGAGCTGAATGCAAATCCAAAAGGCACGGTATGGAGTTGTCTCGTGCTGTGGGAGACTGCGTTACCACGAGGTCCATTCTCGTCTGGATCTTCTGCTGGGTGACGAACAGCGTGGACTCGCGCACGATCCTCTTCTCCAGGTTGCGGTACTCACGGGCGCGCTGGCGGGCCAGATTCTGCGTTCACACGTCGGCACGGCACGAAGGAAGAAACAAAAAAACTATTATTCAACTGGACTCTCTCTCCAGCGTTTGCGAGTTGATGGCCTGAGTCCAGTCACCAATGAAAGGCACACAAAAAAAAACTTAGTTCAACATATTACATCTTTCGGAATTATACATTTGACTGATAAGTGCTGAAAACTAATTTGCAGGGCATGTGAAATGTGACCCGAGTGTCGATCAAAAGGCCGATTGAAGCGATTTCAGAAGTAGTTTTGGAGATGTCTCAATCTCAGTGGGCCTTATCTGATATAACAATCATAAAATAGTTAGTGAAAACTGTTGTTAATCCTTCGGACGACATCTTCTTACGGTGCCGTGAATAACCTCGGTGAGAGCGCGGTGAAACCAAGCAAGCAGGTCCATCGTGGCCACACGCGACGTACACAAGGTGGGGGAAGGGGAGGCCACAGGGCTAAGCGTGCGTTGGTGTCCCCGCCCCACGCCAATGCCGTACCTTGATGGTATTTTGGTCGGTGACCCCCTGCAGGGTGGCGGTGCGCAGGGTGTCCAGCCTGGGCCGGTTGTACACGCACCGCACCAGCTCCGGCGCCGTCTGAAGCCGCTCGGCCAGATTGAATTGTTCCACTATCGAGGCAGACGGGCACAAAACACCCCGCTTTGGGATTCGCAGCGACGGCGTCCACATCTCTGATAAGACCGAGGAGTGGATACAGGCCGCGACTTCCGTGTGCCTCCGTGTGTGCATGCATTGCTCAGCAGTATGCGAGGTGTTGTATTTGGGGTGGAGTGCCCCTGTTCTGATCTCCCTGCACCTGATAGAATATAAATCAGTGAGTGTTGATCCAGTACACTCACTTATTTACTCCAACAACAACAACAACAACCGCAGTGACTCAATCACCAGGTATTTAATCGTGCTTAACTGTTCCAATGAACTCCACTCAATGATTCCTCCACCCATGTTGGGGGCCCGGTAGACCAAACTGACCGCTTCACCGCATACATAACGTGTTCACGGTCAGCACACTCGAACACTCGCCTACCTCATTCACAAACTCAACCATCACACTTGCACGTCACAAAACGCCTCTTTACGCTTCCTCCCTGCGGCCGACGTAAAAAATAAACATCTCATACAGGACCCTACCGTCAAACCTTCCGGTTTCAACCTTCCACGCCACCAATGGTCGACCATCAACCGAATCAGGACCTGGCCACGTGGTGGATGCGGCCATCAAAGACTCGGCGGCCTGCGATTGGCGTGGCCACGAATCCCAAACCATCGACCGCATCGTAAACACTCCCGTCGCTGCAGCTGTCTGCACTCCTTTAAAGGAGCAATGGAACGAGATCTACTCGTGCTTCTGAACAGCCAATTGAGTGGACAACACATCTAAAATGACAACTTTAAACTGCTGCGATTAATCCCTATGAAAGACTGCTGTACTTTGGAATTCCCTTTCTGTCACTTTTCTAACTTTGCTAGATAAAAAAAAGAACGTGCTCGCGTTCCCGCGACGTTGAGCACGATTGCCGAGTCCGCGCTAAGCAAACCGCGCCCACCGTCCCGACGCGACTCTCACCGTCACGTTTGGTGTCCACGTAGAACTGTGAACGAATTTTGCTGCTTTACGTTGTCGTTCAGCAGGTGCGCTCCCCTTTCATCCGCTCGATTTTCTGCGTGAACCACAAACAACAGCGCGGCGCAGGTCGGCATCCCTCACGGATGAGAGACCTCTGGGATGCGAGAGGGCAGCTGAGCTCTCCTCAACCCCCCCCCCACTCCGCGTGTCTCACCTTGCTCTCTGCCACCCTCTTCATCTCCACGTAGCGCAGGTCGCGGGTCCTCATGAGCTTCAGTTGGTCAGGTGTCGTCTCCTCGTCGGCCGGATTCTTCTTTAAGTGAACACCATCCTGCGGGCACACAAAGACAGAGATCCACCGTATAGACAAACGGGCTGCTTGGGGCAAGGGCTGTTAACGAGCACTCATGGAGGCCGACATGGCGCACCTATTTCGGGGGCGTGGCATGGCAAGTACCACACCCAGCTCAGCAGCCTTCGTCTTCCCATTGGTGATGTTTACACATTGCACCGGGTACTCTGTTGAGTTGCCAAGTAGACGTAGGGAAGGCCCAGGACCGCTTCAGGATTGAACCACTGCAATTGGCCGTGAGTGGGAATCAAACTCGGGTTCCCGGCTTTGTACAGCAGTGTACTAACCACAGTGCCACCGCTTCACAGTGCACGTGCACATACACACACACAGACGTGTACATGCGCACACACGTGTACGTGCGCACACACGTGTACACACGTGCGCGCAGACACGCGCGCACAAACACCCGTATAGCCTTAACAGACACACACGCACACACACGCACACACACCCGCGCGCGCACACACGCAGGTAGACAGGCACCTTGAGCTTGGTGCTCGTCATCTTGAAGTAGAACTCATCGGGGTTTTTGTCGAGCGCCTTCCGACGCAGCCCCTTCAGGAAGTCCTGCTTGCGGTGCCAGTTTCTACGGTTCGGGAGGGCAACAAGAAAGCACAGAACGTGGGTGAGTGCGGGCGAGTGTGGGGTGGGGGAAGAGAGCACCAAGCGTGGGTGAGTGTGGGGGAGTGAACACAGTGTGGTGAGCGTGAGGGAGAGAGCACACAGAGTCGGTAAGTGTGTGTGAGCGTAGGTGAGCATGGCGGAGAGAGCAAACAGTGTGCGGGAGCGTAGGGTGGGGAACAGAGCACAGCGCATGGGTGAGAGTGGTGTGTAGCGTGGGTAGCAAAACATGCACTGTGGGTGAGCGTGGGGGAGCGTGTGGTGGGAAGGAGAGCACAGCACGTGGGTGAGGGTGGTGAGGGGGGGTGAGCGAGAGCGAAGGGCCGGTGGGTCACTCACTGAGCCCGCAGCTTGTAATCCTTCTTTTTCTCCAACAGGCCCAGCCCCCGGCGAGCCGTAGGCTGCAGAACAAAGACAAAGATCACCCGTGTAGCCTTAACAGACTGTTGGGGCAAGTGCTGTTAGCGAGCACCTATGAAGGCCGGCACGGTACACGGGGAGCTTGGGTGGCCAGCACCACGCCCGGCCGCCTTTGTCTCCCCAGTGGCGATGTTTACTATACACCACATCAGGTACTCATTTGAGGCCGAGTCGACCTAGGGAAGGCCCAGGACCTGTTCAGATAATCGTCACTGGTGATGGCCGTGTGCGGGAATCGAACTCGGGTCGCCGGGTTCGTAGCACAGCGTAATAAATGGTGTGCACTAACAATGCGACCGCCATGGTGAGTGAGTTGGGGACTCGTGTAGGGAGCTGTGTTTAGGGGCTAGGATGAGGAGCTAAGGGGGTCCTGGTACTGAGTGAGTAGTGAGCTGGGGGGTAGTCCTGGTACTGAGTAGTGAGCTGGGAAGGGGGTCCTGGTACTTAGTGAGTAGCGAGCTGGGGGGGTAGTCCTGGTACTGAGTAGTGAGCTGGGGGGGTCCTGGTACTGAGTGAGTAGCGAGCTGGGGGGGTCCTGGTACTTGGTGAGTAGTGAGCGGGGGGGGGGGGGGGGGTCCTGGTACTTGGTGAGTAGTGAGCTGGGGGGGGGGGTCCTGAGTGAGTAGTGAGCGGGGGGGGGAGGTCCTGGTACTGAGTGAGTAGTGAGCTGGGGGGGTCCTGGTACTGAGTGAGTAGTGAGCCGGGAGGGGGGTCCTGGTACTGAGTGAGTAGTGAGCTGGGGGGGGGGGGGTCCTGGTACTGAGTGAGTAGTGAGCTGGGGGGGGTTCTGGTACTGAGTGAGTAGTGAGCTGGGGGGGGGGGGGTCCTGGTACTGAGTGAGTAGTGAGCTGGGGGGGGGGGGGGGTGGGGTCCTGGTACTGAGTGAGTAGTGAGCTGGGGGGGGGGGGTCCTGGTACTGAGTGAGTAGTGAGCTGGGGGGGTTCTGGTACTGAGTGAGTAGTGAGCTGGGGGGGGGGGGGTCCTGGTACTTGGTGAGTAGTGAGCTTGGGGGGGGGGGGGGGGGGTCTCCTGGTACTGAGTGAGTAGTGAGCTGGGGGGGGGGTCCTGGTACTGAGTGAGTAGTGAGCTGGGGGGGGGGTCCTGGTACTGAGTGAGTAGTGAGCTGGGGGGGGGGGTCCTGGTACGGAGTGAGTAGTGAGCTGGGGGGGGGGGGGTCCTGGTACTTGGTGAGTAGTGAGCTGGGGGGGGGGGGGGTCCTGGTACTGAGTGAGTAGTGAGCTGGGGGGGGGGGGTCCTGGTACTGAGTGAGTAGTGAGCTGGGGGGGGATCCTGGTACTGAGTGAGTAGCGAGCTGGGGGGGGGTCCTGGTACTGAGTGAGTAGTGAGCGGGGGGTCCTGGTACTGAGTGAGTAGTGAGTGGCTGGGGGGGGGGGGTCCTGGTACTGAGTGAGTAGTGAGCTGGGGGGGGGGGGTCCTGTACTGAGTGAGTAGTGAGCTGGGGGGGGGGGGGTCCTGGTACTGAGTGAGTAGTGAGCTGGGGTGGGGGGGTCCTGGTACTGAGTGAGTAGTGAGCTGGGGGGGGGGGGTCCTGGTACTGAGTGAGTAGTGGGCTAGGGGGGTAGTCCTGGTACTTGGTGAGTAGTGAGCTGGGGGGGGGGGGGTCCTGGTACTGAGTGAGTAGTGGGCTGGGGGGGGGGGGGTCCTGGTACTGAGTGAGTAGTGAGCTGGGGGGGGGGTCCTGGTACTGAGTGAGTAGTGAGCTGGGGGGGGGTCCTGGTACTGAGTGAGTAGTGGGCTGAGGGGGGTCCTGGTACTGAGTGAGTAGTGAGCTGGGGGGGGGGGTCCTGGTACTGAGTGAGTAGTGGGCTGGGGGGGGGTCCTGGTACTGAGTGAGTAGTGGGCTGGGGGGGGGGTCCTGGTACTGAGTGAGTAGTGAGCTGGGGGGGGGGGGGTCCTGGTACTTGGTGAGTAGTGAGCTGGGGAGGTCGTGGTACCGAGTGTGTAGGGGCTGGGGGGTATTGGTTAGTGTGTAGGGGCTAGGGGGTATTGGTTAGTGTGTAGGGGGTATTGGTTAGTGTGTAGGGGGTATTGGTTAGTGTGTAGGGGCTAGTGGGTATTAGTGTGTAGGGGCTGGGGGGTATTGGTTAGTGTGTAGGGGGTATTGGTTAGAGTGTAGGGGCTGGGGGGTATTGGTTAGTGTATAGGGGGTATTGGTTAGAGTGTAGGGGCTGGGGGGTATTGGTTAGAGTGTAGGGGCTAGGGGGTATGGGTTAGTGTATAGGGGGTATTGGTTAGAGTGTAGGGGCTGGGGGGGTATTGGTTAGTGTGTAGGGGGTATTGGTTAGAGTGTAGGGGCTGGGGGGTATTGGTTAGTGTGTAGGGGCTCGGGGTGTCGTGGTGGTCGCCACGGCCACCACGAGAGGCCGACCGAGCCACCCGCCTCTGCTCACCTGTGACCGCTCGCGATGCTCTCGCTGGTTGGACTTCATCGCTTTCTTGTAGCTCGACATCGCGGCGGCGGCGGTGGAGGCGGCGGCGGCCCCGTGCTACGGTCGATGGCTTTTTAGTTTTTATTTCTCGAACAAACCCTCACGGTTCAAGATCGGCAAACACGGCCTGGGGTGAGCGCTGCGGTAGCCACGCGAGAAAGAAACCTAAGGAACACTCCCTCCACCACCACCACGTGGTATGGAATATGAGGTGACGTCATTGTTGAAAAAACTCATCGGATGACGTCACTTCCCGTGCTATTGCGTCATGTCCTCTTCTCCCACCCACCACCCCGCCCCCCTCTCCTCCCACATTGCACCGCGACAATGTGTTGCGAGAGTCTTTGGTTCTCTCGAGAAGTGTTGCGCCCGAAACGTCGTGGATTTATTTTGTTTTGTATCGACGCGACTTTACCGAAAGAAACAAATGGGTCGTCCATAAATGACGTCACGCGATTTGACCCCCCCCCCGTCACACGGCGTCACAGAAAGTCAGACCCCCCCCCTCAAATATGACGTCACAAAGCTCTGCCCCCCCAAAAAAAAAACATGCTTCAAATCGCTTTAAACTGTTGTCATTGTAGTGCGTATTTAATGTGGCGCTGCACTCTGATGTTGCAGGAGAAAACATTTATTGAAAAGTCTATTTAATTTAGTAGAACGTGTCGTCTATATTTATTTAAAGTTGCGCATTTTGATGTGACGTCACATTTCTCACCCCCCCCCCCCCCCCATCGTCACAAATGTCTGACCCCCCCCCCCGCCTAGGTGCGTGACGTCATTTATGGACGCCCCCAAAGAGTATGAATTCCTGCAGTCACGAAAGCTTCAAATCAATGTGTTCTGGTGAGAACAAGGCACAAACCAGAGGGTATAACAAGTATAACCCGTAAAAACAAAGTTTTTCACTATAAATCCTTTATATGCGTGGCGGCTAGAGTCCTCTCGTCCTCTGGCTTGAGATGGCTGCCACCTATGGGTCAGATGATTGCATTGCACCATTAAGCAATTGGTAATTAAATATATTTTTTTCCTAAAAAGTGTAAAATTTTGGGGAAAAAAATTTCACGAACATTAATTGTCACGCACAACGAGTCTGTGTGGAAAATGTCAGCTCGATTGGATCACGGGAAGTGGGTTAAAAAACGACCGAAAGATTTGCACGGTCCTAAGCAAGCAAGCAAGTGAACTTAATATAAAGGATTTAAAAATCCACTGCTGGATGAAGCCCTATCCCACACCTGTGCAGGTAATGGGGGAGGGGGGTGGGTTAGGCACGGAGCTCGCCTGCGTTACACCCCCCCATGACATTTCCACACACGTGGGCTTTTGGCAAAGTGTTTAATTTGAATGTGGATACACAACAGACTTCTGCTTACGACAGTGCTGTAGTTTCGGTAAAGTCACGTAAGTAAAAATGAATAAATAATAAAAATACATAATAAAAACATGTATTTTAACAATAAGATAAATAAAAAATGTTTTTTAATTTTGTATATCTTATTATTGAGTTATTTTTACCTACGTAGCTTTACCGAAAAAACCTAAGAGTATGAATCCTTGCAGACACGAAAGCTTCAAATCTAGAAGTGCTGTAGTTCCGTAGGTAAAAAATAAATAAATGAAAAAACTTAATTAAATCGAGTTGTTTTTTCATTTATTTATTTTTTACCTACGTGACTTTACCGAAAAAACCCAGAGTATGAATCCTTGCAGTCACGAAAACTTCAAATCGAGAATTAAGTGCTGTAGTTTGCGCTTGTCCTCCAGTGTGTGGCATCTACGGCAGTTACTGAAGGCGGATCGGGATCAAAATAAGCAGTCAAATAGGCAGACGAGAGCGTTGTTAGGGGTGCTTTTAAAAAAACTTAACTCATAAAACCTTTTTGCCAGCTTAAAAAGTGTGAAAAATAAGAGGTTTTACCCTTTCTGGCAATACAACAGGTGTTAAAAGGTTTAAAGCTTTCGTGACTGCAGGGATTCATATTCTTGGTTCTTTCGGTAAAGTCACGTAGAAGGGAAATAATAAAATAGCTAAAATATAAAACAATTAAAATTCGCACGTTTCGACTGCAACACAAGCAATCATCATCAGATTGCTTGTGTTGTTTCATATTTTTGTTATTTTATTATTTCCCTTCTACGTGACTTTACCGAAAGAACCAAAGGTGTTAATATATATCATACTTTATTAACTCCTCAAAGTATAACGTTTGTATCGCTTCATACCTGCTACGTGGTAAATAAGCAGACGTCACCTTCACCCTGTCAAAATCACTCTCCACGAAAAATCTACCGTATTGAAGTATTTCTTATTGTTTCAGCAGCATTGATTCAACCACACAAGGACGTTTGTTTAATTTTATTTTAAATTTGTTTAAGTAGTGCACTCCCATCAGCTTGAAATAAATGGTATTTTATTGTCTGCATCTTTATGCATCCCATAAAATCACACGAACTGTAGTCATAGCTCATACACAGATTCATAGAAACACACGTCTATACAAACACACAAAGATCCCCCCGTATAGCCTTAACAGACTGTAGGGGCAAGTGCTGTTAGCGAGCACCTATGAAGGCCGGAACGGTACACGAGGGGGTGGGTGGCCAGCACCACGCCCGACCGCCTTTGTCTCCCCAGTGGCGATGTTTACACACCGCACCAGGTACTTATTTAAGCCTGAGTCGACCTAGGGGAGGCCCAGGACCGGCTCAGATAATCGTCACTGGTGTTAGCCGTGAGCGGGAATCGAACCCGGGTCGCCAGGTTCATAGCGCAGCGCGCTAACCGCTACACTACCGCTCCCCTACAAACACACACACACGTATACAAACACACACGTATACACACACATACACAAATACAAGATTGCGTAAAAATGTTTGCGGAATTATTTCATCACAACTTGAAGGGGGGTGATGAATATAGAATTTGCTTTGAGTCACAGTTGTATGCTGAACTTCTTTCGCACCGTACGTAACCAACCGTGCTAATTTGGGGGTGTGGCGCGTGCAGGCGGTGCAACTGCGCCAAGGGGGCCCAGACGCTGGGCTACGAAGAGGAATGGAAATTGGCACCGCCCCCCCCCCCCATTTTATTCCTTGCTCTATCGCCCATGCCAGCTGTTGTGGGCGCATGCCTTTGGCGGGGGGGCAATCGCACGAGGAGGACATGCCTATTACGAGCTTGGGAGGCAGCGTGCAATTGAGTCGTGGAGAAACAGCAGCGACTCTTACAAATGTTTTTTTTTTGCGCTAAACCGGTGAAATCGCCCTTACTCCCGCACGTTACACCAGCACAACGCGACGAGACCGCGGGTGCCGTGTGATGCACGCCGACCCGGGGGGGGGGTGTAAGTGGCTGCCAATACGCCGTGGGGCTGAGTCAACCAACAGAGTCAGAGTTGAACTCGCAACCTTCTGCAAGCGCGAGCCGATCACCCTGCCGCCGCTGAGCCGGTCGGAAACTGAAAGCCGACACATCGATGACGATTGATATCTTTCGATTTAAAGCTTTCGTGACTGTAGGGATTCATCTTCTTGGTTCTTTCGGTAAAGTCACGTAGAATGGAAATAATAAAAATAAAACATAATAAAATAATTCTCACGACGTTTCGGCCACAACGCAAGCAGCCGTCCTCAGGTGGAGAGCAGGTCTGTCAGACTGTCTACTCGACAGACCTGCTCTCCACCTGAGGACGGCTGCTTGCGTTGTGGCCGAAACATTGTGAGAATATTTTATGTTAAATTTTTATTATTGTATTATTTCCATTCTACGTGACTTTACCGAAAGAACCAAGAAGAGGATTGATATCGTTGTGAATGTAATAATTCTGCGAACTTTGGACTGGCCCATCGTCACAGACCCTGACAGATGCACATTCATACATTAGTATATACATACCATACATAAAGAGCCCTTGTTATCAATCCACTTTTGGATGAGGGCCTCCACCACACCTGGGCGGGTCGTGGGGTCACTTGACAATACCTGACCATGCTGGGCAGTGGTCGGATAAGGCCGGGAAGATTGGCGAGTGTAAGAACGGAAGCACTGCGCTCTTTTACTGCCAAGCACCGACCCGCAAGCCCCATGACACCCGATTTGTGCTCGGTGGTCATCGACCCAAGAAGCGGTATCCGGGCACAAACCTGCTGAGCTTCCGAGATCCGACGCAATTCCAGGTGAAGCGCGCACCACATGCATCTCCAACAGCCACCATTCGCCACCGGGTGGCATCACCACAGCAGCTGTGTGCCAGGTTAGGTGCAGGTGATAGGTCGGAACCAGGTGTTATGAAGAGTGTACCACATGCATGTACAACGGCCACCATTCGCCACCGAGTGGCATCACCACAGCAGTTCTGCGCCAGGGTTAGGTGGCAGGCGATGGGCCGGAACCAGATGTAATGGGTTAACTACCTGGGATTTACTGGGAGATGCATCGGCTTCAACAAGTTGTATCTATGTACGTACAACTTCTGCGTAGCCAACCGTGCTAATCGGAGGTGTGAAAGTTCCCCACGTACAATGACAAGGCACGTTCATACAGATAACCAAAGGGCACACTACACAGCCACGCATACTCCGCATCACTCATTCTTTTGTAACATGCCATGAACTCACAAGCAAACCTGCTCACACACACACAAAATACCCCCGCATAGCCTTATCGGCTATTGGGGTAAGCGCTGTTAGCGATCACCTATTAAGGTAACCTCGGCACACGAGGGAGTAGTGTGGGCAGCCTCATTATTGAGTTTTTGTCTCCCCAGTGTTTATATTTACACACAGAACTAGGTACTGTACTCATTTAAGGCCGAGTCTATCTAGGGGAGGACCAGGACTGCATTATACACTTATCACCGTTAGCCACAGCTGGGAATTAAACAAGTCACCGGGTTCGTAGCGCAGTGCGCTACCACATTGTACTAGCCCCCCAATGCACACAAACACATACAGCACAGATGCAATCTTAGAGTACTTCGCCTGAACTGCCACTGATCAGCTATCCCTCTCCAAAGCCGACGAGTGTTTTGCTCCAGCCATCCGTCCTGCCGTGTGGCCCACATCCAAACCGCCGTGTTCGTAAGTGGGGTGACCATCAGTGGCGAAGCTACCAGTGCCCACGGACCAGAGGGGCGATCTGCCATGCTACAAATTAAGAGGGCGGGCATTTAATTCTCCTTCCCACGAGGACCCATGCCAATTATAGCCCTGCCATCGTGGAGGAAAAGTGTCATATTAACCCTATCAACCATATTAAGAGTGTGCTACGTGTCAACTATAATCAGCAGGCTTGCATGTCATGGCTGTGAGACCATAGGTCACAGGGGGCAGCTTCGCACCCCAAAGATTTTGGAAAGGGGGCAACCGTCCATATGCCCCCTTGGTAACTCAACATGGGCCCCCAAAGCAACACGCACCTCAAATCACCTGTCATTACCTTGGCTCGCTGGTAAAAAAATATATATCAATAAGCCACCCCCCCCTCGCCTAAGTCCCACAATTCCGCAATAAATCGCACAGCTTACTCACCTGGTCTCGTCACCACACGGCTCAACACCGAGTGACGGACATGTGACATAGTCTCGTGTCTCTTAGAGTTCTCCCCACTTGATACAGCAATTTTGCTGTGACGGTGCCACCTGAAGACGGAGGCTTGTGTTGCCTCCGAAACGTCGTGATTTTATTTATTTTATTTTTTACCTACGTGACTTGATCGAAAAAACCAAAGAGTATGGACCCTTGCAGTCACGAAAACTTCAAATCTAGAAAGGACACGTGGCAATTCACCTTCATGGTGATCCAATGAATACTGTCACGATTCAAGTAAAGAATTAATTTTGTTTTGTCCCGTTCTTACCGTTGTTCTGTTAATAGTCTACCGCATATTTTTCGTCTCGTTGTTTCAATTACTACACGCTGATATGAGTATATAATTATCATAAATTGTAAACAATAAATTCTGAGGTGTGCAATTTTAAGCGTGTGCTGTGAGCATATGAATCTATTTTAATCGACGAGTCATTACACGTCTACTTAATAATTAATCGGGCGTATCACTCTTCTCCTGGGGGTCACAATTTGACGGTGGCACCCTCCACTCTCTGCAGCCGCACGATCCAGCACGACGCTACACAACACGACGCCGTGCAAAGCTGGACGAGTCACGTTCACATCTAGGCCAGAGCCGACAAGAGCCGGACAATTCTACGGTCTATGCCGAGCTCGCGGAGGCCGGCTGGCCAGAGCCAAGGGGTCTCCCCCTCTTCAGATGAGGACCAAATGGACGGCAGTAGCAATCGATCATAAAACAAAACACGATGAGCCGACAGCGAGCTGCGTCTCTCTACGTCTGTCCTATATTTGCCACAATCACTCTGGTAATTACTTTATAAGCAGGGGTGAGGAACCTATGGCCGATGCAGCCCAGACGTAGCCCATTACTTTGTTTCATATGGCCGGCTGCCACCAAAGGGGCCTAACTACCTCCGAACAGTGGCCCGCAATTCATTGTTACTGCAAGCATCTCATCGGGCACTAGAGGGCAATATTTTTCCACCTGGCAGCACTGCGTTTCTAAAATTATAGGTGTTCCTCAATTATTTTTGTACGCTATTATTACATATATGTCTAAGGTGTGTGTGTTTTTCAAGTGCTGTTGCCCGCCACATGTATGTGCCAGTTCTATTTGGCCCTCGGCAAAGAAAAGATTCCCCAGCCCTGCTCTCATGATATGCGCGTCCCTACGAGCAGCGACTACCGCTTAGCGGCATGCCCCCCATCCGCATGCACAGGTGAGCGATCCCACGACACGTCGCTCGCGGATATATCGCAAAACCAAGGTTAGGAAAGTAAAATCATTAATTGAGGATATGGTCGTGGTTTGTTTCCGGCGAGGGCAAACCCTTCCGTTCATCGCCAAGAGGGAGACATTTCTTTAAATTCATGACTTCAGGCCCCGCGTCGTCGTCATCATCATAATCGAGTATTTTTTGGCAGGGTAGAATTCGCAGTTGGGTCCTTCTCAGGGCTTAATTCCCCTAATGGAATATTTTCCGGGTCACTGGCAGACTGGAGCAGGTGTGCAAGTGACCAGCGACCACAGCCACAGCGAGATGGATACCTGGATGCGATGTTGCCGGGTGTGGAAACATTTTTCCCCGGTCGCTGACCCAAACCGATCCAGCTGACATTAAAGCCCTGGTCTTCTTGTTCGCTCTGTCACAAAGTTTCCGCGCAAAAAAAAATAATAATTGGCGAAATCCTCGACTCGTGGCGAATTGGGTCCGACGACGCCGCAGCCAAGCAGCGGCTTGGCCAATAGTTTTTAAAGTTTTACGACACAATGGAGTGGACGGACGGACGGGGCGGGTGGGCGCCGTCACGGCGAGTACACGTGGCCCGTGATGGGGCACACCGAGCGCTGGCGGGCGCACGCCGGGTGCACCACCGCACCGCTGGGGTAGCGCGCAAACTCGGGTTCGGAGAACACCCCCTGGCACATGGGGCAGATGGTACGCTCCGTGAGCACCACGGGCCGCAGGCACAGAGAGGCCTACGGGGGGGGGGGGGCGGTGGGTGTGTGGGGGGGGGGCAGATGGAGGCACGGATGGGCAGAGGACAGCGCCGCACGGCGAGTGAGAACGGACGATGATCGCTTGCGCGCATCCAAAACTACGACGCTCGCAAAACCTACCTGCTTGAAATTGCGCTCGTCTTTGGAAGTATTTGATTCGCAAGACAGAAGCCAAAGGGGAGGGCAAAATGCGTGTGCATATTTGTAAATAAAGTAGTTATTTTTGCTCTCGTTTTTTGTCTCCAAGTTTTGGGAAAACTTTGGATAAATTTGGCCGGTAATTAATAAAGTAGGTAGCCGATCTCAATGCCACTTTTTAGCACAGTTTGAATCATACAGGATCATCTCTACGACAGTCATAAAGCCCGCACCGTTATGGACACACAAGACAAAGATCCCTCAGAAACCTTAACAGAATGTTAGGGCAAGTGCTGTTAGCGAGCACCTATGAAGGCCGGCACGGCACACGAAGGGCTGGGTGGCCAGCACCACGCCCGACCGCCTTTGTCTCCTGAGTGGCGATGTTAACACACCACACCAGGGACTCATTTGAGGCTGAGTCGATCTAGGAGAAGCCCAGGGCCTGTTCAAATAATCGTCTCTGGTGTTGGCCACGAGCGGGAATCGAACTCGGGTCTCCAGGTTCGGAGCGCAGCATAATAAATGGTGCGCATTAACAATGCGACCAGCATGCTTAGTGTGTCGGGGACTCGTGTAAGCAGCTGTGTGTAGGGGCTAGGGTGAGGGGCTAGGGCAGGGGTCGGCAACCAAAATAACAAGAAGAGCCATTTCTTTCCAATTCGGTAAAAAATTCAGTATTTCAAGAGCCGCAATGCATCTGAGTACATACTGTACATACGTACATATCATCAAGAAGCAGCCCGTAAAGAGCCGCATACGGCTCCGGAGCCGTAGGTTGCCGACCCCTGGGCTAGGGGGTATTGGTTAGTGTGTAGGGGCTAGGGGGTCCTGGTGCTTAGTGAGTAGCGAGTAGTCCAGCGGGCTAACCGCTACGGCACCGTCTCCCCGTTACGGACACAAGGACACATTCTCTCACCTTCTCCTTGCGCAGCGCGAGGTTCTGTGCGCACGCCAGCCCGCGCTGCGCCTGCGCGGTGCGCCGCGCGTGCAGGCTGCCCCGCAGCGCCGCGCGCAGGAACGGCGCCAGCAGCCCCGCCGACCAGCCTTCGGGCAGCGTCGCCAGCACGGCGGACGCCTCGAACTCGGGGGCCTCGCCGTTCAGCAGGTCCGCCACGGCCACGGCGTCGGTCTCGACGGCACGGCGAGCGCCGTCGTGCCCGTCGTAGGCGCCGTCGTCGTCGGGCCCCGCGCCCGTCCCGTTGCGGGCGGCGCCGCGCTCCGGCCCGTTGGACTGGCAGGGCCCGGTCGGCGGCACCAGGCAGGCGGAGAGGAGGAGGTGGAAGAGGCGGCGGCGCTGGGCCGGGTCCGGGTGGCGGGAGCAGTAGCGGCGCGCCGCGGGGAGGTCGTGCGCGCCGTGCACCAGAGTGTGCAGGGCGCCGCCGTGGTCGCCCAGACGGCCCTGCAGCAAGGCCCGCTCGGCCAGCAGCGGAGAGGCACCCAGCTTCCCTGCAGGGAGGGGAAGGGGCACAGGGAGAGGATGTCGAAGAGCAGAGAGACGGGGGGGGGGGAGGGTGGGAGTAGAGGGGACGGGAAGGGAGGCGTTTATCCAGCAGTATTTCGACAATGACAATATATTATTATATAAATAGGGAATTAAAGGCTTGGTGGCCAGATTGCGTATTTCATGAGATTGCTTTTAAAAGGGGGTCAAGCACTGTCAAGAGCTGGGCCCCATCTAACTCCAAACATCTCGAGGGATGAAGCCACCTGCCTGGGCTCCACTTTACACTGCACGTGTGTCTTCCTCCACACTCTCCTAGCCTCTCCCCACACTCCGTGTCCCACACTCCCAGTGTCTGTCCCCACACTCTCCTAGCCTCTCCCCACACTCCCCGTGTCTGTCCCCACACTCCCCGTGTCTCTCTACCCATCACCACCACCTCCACCACTCACCGAGCAGGAACTCCGCACGGTAGAGCTCCGACTCCTGCAGCATGAGCTGCAGCTTGGCCCGTGCCGCGGCCAGCTTGGCGCCCTGTGACCCCGCCGTGAAACCCGGTGACCCCCCGTGGTCGTCAGGCTGATGGTTGCACAGAATGTCGAGGACGTCCTCCAAGTAGAGTGTGGCGAGGTGCGTGTGATGCCTCTCCTCCTGGGCCACGTCGCCACCATCATCACAGTTAACACCGCCACCATCATCGTCGTCATCAACATCATCGTCAATACCACCGCCATCATTATCATCATCACAATCTTCAAAATCATCACCATCATCACCACCATGTCCCGTCAAATATCGCACCGCCAGATATATTCGGCGCGATGCTGTATTGCTCCGTTGACGGCACCGATTGGATGTCGGCCCAAATCTCCTTCCAATCGACGACGATGTGAACACAAATATCCGCGTCCGCGCCATGAGATCCACAACTCGGCCGCTTTGGAAATGCGCGGCACCAACTCTGCACAAGGGGAACTTCAGCGTTGACACAGCGTGAACCAACGCCTGGGATTCAATGTGCCTAATACACACCCTGTTCAGCAAGTCCATCGCCACCACCACCACACTGCCCAGCTTCTACAACACACAGCTCATCAGTGAACCCACCACCACACTGCCCAGCTTCTACAACACGCAGGTCGTCAGTAAATCCACCACCACACTGCCTGAATACGGCTGCGTGAAACTGGATTGGCAGCTTCGAACAACAAGCCGTGCAGCGATAAACTTTTCACTTCCCCAAATATAAATATAATGGGTGGGTGAGTTGGTGGGTAGTTCGGTAGGTAAGTGTGTCTGCAATTCCCCAACTCTCAGACAAAGCAACTGAGTGGCTGAATCAGCTCAGAACTGAATCTCTATTGTTTCTCTTCATCGGACATATGAAACCATCACCATCGCCATCACAGTCATTAAAGTTAGTATCTTCATCAGAATCACCATTTTCATCATCATCATCACCACCACCACCACCACCACAATCATCTACATCAGCAAAGTCATCATCACTATCATCACTACCATTTTTAAATCCTTTATATTAAGTTCGCTTGCTTGCTTGCGTGCTTGCTTGCGTGCTTGCTTGCTTGCGTGCTTGCTTGCTTGCGTGCTTGCTTGCTTACGACCGTGCAAACCTTTCGGTCGTTTTTTAACCCACTTCCCGTGATCCAATCGAGCTGACATTTTGCACACAGACTCGTTGTGCGAGACAATTAATGTTCGTGAAATTTTTTTCCAAAATTTTACACTGTTTAGGGAAAACAAATTAAATATTTAATTACCAATTGTTTAATACTGCAGACAATCATCTGACCCATAGGTGGCAGCCATCTCAAGCCAGAGGACGAGAGGACTCTAGCCGCCACGCATATAAAGGATTTAGAGTTAAAAACTTTGTTTTTACGGGTTATACTTGTTATCATCACTAGTCATCACTGATCACCAATGGTGGGTCAATATACTGCGTCCCGGTTCAAATAATCGTCACTGGTGTTGGTATTGGCCGTGAGCGGGAATCGAACCCGGGTCGCCAGGTTCGTAGCGCGCCAATCGATGCACTGCCGCTCACCACACACGAGTCACCGCATGCACACTTGCACACAGCCGTGGACGTGCGATCACACCTGCACCCGCCTCTCCAGCACCAGGTGTTCTAGGAAGGCCATCAGGGCACGCGGGAACTGGCCCAGGAACCGCACCACCTCGTCGGGGCACAGCTCCTCGCTCCCCCGCGCCTCCCCCTCCTCTCGCCACGGCCGCTTGGTGAAGATGTGGACTCCTGTCTGAGCGGCCAACATGGAGCCCCGTTTCATTCGCGGCACCGGGCGACGCTCCAGTCGTCAAGCGTGCAGAGCAGGCGGTGGGGAGCCTACAGCTTGTGACTTCATATCATGCGGCCCCGCAATTTAAAATTCAAACGGCCCGCGATTTCACATCACACGGCACCGTGACTTCATGCGACACGCAACTTCATTTTCGATTAGCGCGGTTGACTACGTTACGGTGCGCAAGAAGTGCAACATATATACGTACATTTCCAACGGTCCGTGGCCATCATGAGGCTTACCCACTCCGAGCGAGATGGCCCACAAACTTGACATTGCCGGCCCCTCCAAAACCACAGGCAAATGCCTACGCTGCCTACACTGCCCTACGCTGCCCTACGCTGCCCTACGCTGCCCTACGCTGCCCACGCTGCCCTACGCTGCCCACGCTGCCCACGCAGCCCTACGCTGCCCTACGCTACCCACGACCGATTGCCAGTACTCTCCTTTGCCTACCCTCCCCCAACTTCGTAGCCCCCCTCCATCCTCTCCTCTCCCCCCCACCCGAGCACCATGGGCCCCCAGTGCAGTTGCACCACCGCCTGCACACTCGACAGCTACGACGCTCGGCGTGTGCCGCGCGCGCCGCCGCTGGCGGTGAGCTCACCTCCTCGCTGCGCTGCAGGGCCCAGGCGGAGTGCCTCCACACCAGCTTGGCGCTCGGGCAGTAGCTCAGGAAGTCGACGACGAATGAGAAGAGGTCGGGCCGCGATGCGTCGCTCAGCTCCCCGTCAACCACTCGCACCCAGTACTGGTGAGAACACGAAGACAAAAGATCCCCCCTGTGTAGACTTACACAGGCTGTTCACTTGCATATTAAAGACATTACATTTTAGTAATAGAGCAAGTGCAGAATCACTGAACCGGAATTTGTAGCTTGAAAGCATTTAGCGCGGGGCCTTAAAAAGCGCGGGGCCCATAGCATGTAACTATTTTTGCTTCTAAGATAATCCGGCATTGGCTAGCGGGTGGACCCAGTGGGCGTGCGAAGGTTCAATCCCGCGAGGCCTCACCTGCAGTGCCACGTCGTCCTGCTGATGGTGGTGGTAGAGCAGACCGAGTGCAAAATACCTGCAGTGCACACGCAGGAGATAACCACCACAGGGACGGAGGGATCTCATCAACTCGTGTGCAGGCGCACAGATGCCCCCGTATTGCATTAAACAGACTGTCGGAGAAAATGCTGTTTGCGAGCTCCTATTAAGAGCAGCACGGCGCCCGAGGTGATGGTGTATTCAGCAACGCGCCTGGCCACCTTTGTCTCCCCACGACAAAGAAATAGATCCCCCTTGTAGCCTCAATAGACTGTTGGGGCAAGTGCTGTTTGCGAGCTCCTATGATGGCCGCAACAGTACACGAGGGGGTGGGTGGCCAGCACCACGCCCGACCGCCTTTGTCTCCCCAGTGGCGACGTTTACACACCGCACCAGGTACTGATTTGAGGCTAAGACGATCAGTTCAAATAATTGTCACTGGTGTTGGCCGTGAGCGGGAATCGAACCCGGGTCGCCAGGTTGGTAGCGCTCCCCACTCCCGACAAAACACAAACAAACACACGCGCGCACACGGACTCAAGAAGACTCACCTGCCGAGGCGCTCCAGGTGAGCGGCAGAGTCTTGCAAGTGAGCGGCGCAGTCGCCGCCCGCCAGCAGGTCGAAGAGCCGCTCGTCCCCCTCCTCGGCGTACAGCTTCACCAGCGCCGTGTCCACGTCCTCCCGCCAGCCCGGCGGGCCGGGCGGGGGGGGGCTGGGGAGAGCCCCCCCGCCGCCGCCGATGAGCACGACAGCGCGCGAGTCGGGGGGCCCCGCGGAGCGCGCCTCCGCCAGGCGGGAGGCGAGGAAGCGGCGGACGGAGGCGGCGAGGTGGGGGCGTCCCCCGGTGAGCGTGGTGAGGTCGGCGTGTGGGTGCAGCGGGGGGTGCGTGCGCGAGAAGGAGGAGGAGGGCGGCAGGAGGTCGGGCACCAGCGAGGCGAGCTCGCGCACGTCCAGGCGGCCGCTCCTGTCGAGCCACCATTCGTTAATTTAACAACACGTTCGATTAATAGTTAACTGCAACAACCATTAATTCAATTAATAATTTCATCACCGAATTGTCAGGATTGGGATGTTTGGCCAATAGCAGTTATAGTGTGTGTTTTTTGCTTGTGGGGGGAACTGGCGAACACGGAGGAAAGCCATGCAGAAAACATACAAACTCCACGCAAAAGGCAACCAATTCAGGAATCGAACCCAGGTCCTTCTTACTGCGAGGTACTAGTGTTACCACTACGTCACCCTGCCCACAGACTTATGTAGGAACCCATAGACGAACATGGAACCTCTCCAATAGCGTTGCCTCCAATGTTGTGGCTATCAAGTGTGCACCGGGGGCTCGCAGGATGGAGGGGCCCCCGCTCTTGGCTATTAATAATTGGGGGATAAATTGGGCAGGGAGGGAGGGCACATTTCACCGCTTGCACCAAGGCTGACGCCAACCTCGCTACGCCATTGGGTTTGGTGTTTCTGACGTAAGTCAAGCAACCACTCAGCTGTTGTTGTTGTTCCCGTGTTAACTCAGTTTGTCCGATACCCAGTGCCAGATTATCCGAGTAGCAAAAGTTGCATATGCTATGGGCCCCGCAATTTCAAGGGTCCCGTGCTAAATGCTTTCAAGCTATGAATTCCGGTTCAGTGAATCTACACTTGCTCTATTACTATAGTACTATACCGCCTTCAACTTTTATGAATGACTTTGGTGTTTAAGGTTAGCGATTTGTCGTATTATCTGGCTGTATAGCAAATGAAAAAATACAATTACTTTACTATGCAAGTAAAAAAATGTGTGTTTTAATATTTGTGTATTTTTTTTTATTTAGGGCCCCTTTAAAACATTTGCTACAGGCCCCGCACTAGCTTGATCCGGCACTGCCGATACCTGAAAAGCTCCGTGGCTTCAGGGAGGCGGCCCAACGCCAACTCCACAAAGCCCGCCTGCTGCTTCACGCGCTCGTACAGCGACTGGGAATGCGCAGCACACACGATCCCCGTACAGCCTTAACGGAATGTTGGGGCAAGTGCACACAGTACTCGTTTCAGACTGCGTGGACCTCGGGGGAGGCCCAGGAACCGGTTCAGTTATTCTCGTCACTGATGTTGCCCGCGCGCCACAATTTAAGTCGAGTGCCCGGGCTCGCAGAGCAGTGCGCATTTACCGCTCTACAGGGTTCTCCGAGTGAAGAATTGAAAATATTTCACGAAAATTAAACCAATGTTAAATTATGCATTTCCATGCGCAGAAGTTGGCCTCGGACAGATTCATTTTTTAAATCAAATTACAATGACAAATTAAGTTAGAAACGTTTAAACACACATATAGGGTGGCTATTGTACTTGTATGTAAACAGACAAGGATGTGTCGAATGCACGTAGCCTTGTCTGTTTATATATCAGAAGAATATGCATTCAAGCGGGAACGTATCAGTACGTGGTGTCTAACTTCCAGCATCTTCTCTGTAAAACTGGAGAGAAATTATGACTTAAAGGGGGCCACATTTGTCGATGCAGATTGAAGGAATATGCAGCCCAACAAACCGGAGCGCTCTAACCTGAGAGTACCCTCTGATTACACTGGTCAACAAAAAAAAAACATTTTTTTCTGGCCTGGACTTTGCAGTTGTTTCAGGGTGCTGATTCCAAATCTGATCTCAGATTTGCACTATCACATCTCATTTTTATGCTATTGGCATACCCCATTTTCATTGATTTCACCCGAAATTAACTCTGTCACATATGATTGCAAGTTGTTGCGAGCCAGTGACTCCTTTAGTGTTAAAATATGGTGCTGTATTTTTAGGATAGTGTGTTTATAATATAATTTTATGTAGATATCCACATTTATTTAATATTTTTCTTCTGCAGTTTTTATTGAAAATGCAATATTTGAGATCTCAAAAACCTGATGTGATAGACAAAAACTGATTCCAGATTTGGAATCAGCACCCCAAAATTACATTAAAACCGTTGGAATACCTTATGCCAGAAAAAGTGTGTTGACCAGTGTTATCATGGTTGGCTACGTACGGTGCGAAAGAAGTTCAAGCTCAACAGAGTACAACGAGCGAGCGGGCAAGCGTGCAACCACTCGGCCGTGTCGCCGCGTGCGTGCGATGGTGCGTTCGTGCGATGGTGCGTTCGATGGTGCGTTCACTCGTGAGCAGCTCACCGCGTAGCGGTCGCGGGGCATCGTGTGACGCGACGCCCTCGCCAGCTCCAGCGCCTGGTCGACGCGGCCTCCCGCCAGCAGGTCCCCCACTTGGCTCTCGAGCGAGCACGGCTCCAGCGCGAAGAGCTGGCCGCCCGCGCACGCCAGCAGCTTCCCTGCACCGCGAGCACGCAATGGCGCCCCCCGGCGTCACCGCAACCAATTCGTCACGCCCGTACTATCGGGCGCACAATACCGGTTACCCAGCACCTCTGGCGAGGAAGTGTTTAATGGGTAGAGAGAGCAGCTCGCGATAAGAATGTCGCGAGCTCAAATCCTCGATGGGTGGATTGACTCGGCCCATCATCCTTCCAGGGTCGATAAAATTGGTATCACTTTAATTCTAGATTTGAAGCTTTCGTGACTGCAAGGATTCATACTCTTAGGTTCTTTCGGTAAAGTCACGTAGGTAAAAAATTAAATTAATAGAAACAAAATAAAATAAATCAACAGGCGTTAGGGTCGGGATCGAACCGACGACCTCCTGTATACCAGGCGAGGTAGTTAACATCTCGCAACCGTGGCACCCATGAACTGGCCCCGGCCACCTTTCTTTCACCAACTCACAATGACCAGCACAATGAACGGTGCTCAAATTATTCCCATGATCCACATGGCCGTGGGGTGGTCCTCTTTCAGCAATGCATTACCAAAACAGGCTCTAGACATACTCTTTGGTTCTTTCGGTAAAGTCACGTAGGTATATGGATTCCTGCAGTCACGAAAGCTTCAAATAAAGATTAGGCTCTAGACACACGAACACTCACTGAAACACGTTTACTCACTCCAACACCTTCAATACACTTGGCACCCACGCACCACAAGCTGATTTCATCGCTCCATTTCTCCAGTGGTCATCCTCTCGGACTCGTTCCACTCCTCGCCTGCCACCCCGTACTCAATCTCGCCCAACAGCCAACATCCCTTCTAGCGATGTGTCCTACCCAAGCCCACTCACTTGTCTTAACAGTCTGAACGATGTACGTACGCATGTTGAACTTCTTTCGCAAACGTACGTAGCCAACTATGCTGATCGGAGGCGCGGTTGTTCATGTCAACAACCCGTCGAAAGAACGGGGAAGATGTGGGTGCTTGGCTGTGGGGGCGTAGACACGAGTCGTTGGGCAACGTACCCTCCAGGCTGTCGAGGCAGTGCCCGCCCGTGAAGGGGATGCTCTGCTTGAGCTGCTGGTCCAGGAGGCTGTGCACGGTGAGGAGCTGGGCCCCCAGCGCCAGCAGGTACGGCGGTGCCAGCGCGGCGCCGCGCACGCCATCACCCCAGCGGACCGGGGCCCGACGCGACACACCCTCCGACGTCACGAACATTCCTGCGGACAGCGGCGAAGAGTAGGTTGGCGTCGGCAAGGAATACAATGCGGTGACCCGGTCCAATTTACCCAACAACCTCTTCATATCTCAGCATCTGGGTTCACCCTCGGCCTGTGGGCTCCGGTGCAATTGCACCGGCTGCACACTCTCTCGAAAGTCACACCACCAACTGTTGTGCAAGTTAGGCACCGCAGCGATTCCTGACAGCGCAATTTTCGCTCTGCTCTGTATATGCTGGCAAATGGAGAAAGCAATTATCGTGGACTGTATATCATACACTATATATCACAGTATTTCCATGTTGTTGCAACAATAATTTTAATAGCCTAATTTTATCTTGATTTGAAGCTTTTGTGACTGCAGGAATCCATACTCTGGTTCTTTCGGTAAAGTCACGTAGTTAGAAAAAATAATAAAAGAAAACACAAAGTTTCGGTCGCAACACAAGCGGCTGTCTTCAGGTGAGAAAAATTATCTGCTGTTGTGGCTTTATATAGGCACGGGAGGGGGGGGGAAGAGTTTGTCTGTAGGGGTTAGGCACGGGAGGGGGGGGGGGAGGAGGAGTTTGTCTGTAGGGGTTAGGCACGGGAGGGAGGGGAAGGAGAGCCCAATTTACGAAGTTTTTTTATTACTCGTGTCTTTGTTTTATCCAGGCCAAACCTCGCCTGGCCCCACCTTACTCCGGATAATCGAGAGCCGACTGTACTTCACACCACGCTTGTCAGTGCGGGTTGGTGAAGAGGCAGGGAACACGGCACAGTGTACAACAACGGATGTTGCCACAATGGGCTGATGAATCAGGCGGGCAGACTGACCGAGCGAGCCGGGCCCAGTGAGCAGGAACTCCTCCTTGGCGATGCGCTTCACGATGGGGGCGGTGGTTCCCCCCGACCCCTCCGTCTCATCCTCCTCCTCCTCTTGCTCCCTCGGGAACAGCTCCTGGGCAGCGCAGTCGGGCGGCGGATGAGAAAACGAAGAAACCGGTCAATAAACATTTATATATTTATTACTTGAAACCTCTGTTCCCACGTGTGACGCAGGACGGTAGGTCCTTTTTTTGGAATAAATTATTGATTACAATGTTCATGGAATCGCTAATCGAATCGAGCTCCATTTTTTGTCACGTTCGAGCACCAAAAATCTATTTCAACCCTTATAACCCCCCGATGGTGGATTTGCACAGCAACGGCAATGGTGCAAATCGATAATAACGTGAAGGGTTGGGAAAAAATGCAAGAGTGATACCGATCGCAGACAAGCTGAAAGAAGGTCAACACCTGATGACGGAGACTTGTGTTGCCTCCGAAACGTCGTGATTTATTATTTTATTTCTATCATTACTTCTATGTGACTTTACCGAAAAAAGCCTAAGAGTATGAGTAAGGTCAACACCATATCAGAAGAAAGGTGAACATGGAATCATCAGAGAGACAGGCATAAAATTAGGTGGTGCGGAGTGGTAAGCCAGAATATTAAGGGGAATGTGGAGTGGATAAAGAGATGGGCTCAGATATAACTCACAACCAATATTAGCCATGGCCAGGAAATCAAACTCAGTTCACTGGATTCACAGATCAGTGCGACAGCAACTCTGCTGCTGCTCCACCCCACATATCTACTCATCATCATCGGCTATAATCAATCTACTGCTGCGTGTCTGCAAATGGCTGTAAATGAACAACGCCGATTGCTCTTGGCCAACCTGGCAGGCTCCCGTGGAGGAGTTGAGCATCACGTATCGCGTTGTCATGGCGACGCACACAAAGGCTCCGTCTGCTGCCACGGCAACGGGCAGCTCCGGGGTCGCGAGGTCACGCAGTGGCTGAATGCGGTCCCCGCGGACCAGGTAAATCTGTGGAGGCAGCGGAATGGCACAGACGAGCAACTTTAAGGGGCGAGCTTTCTGAACGATGCTGCGGTGATGATGAGGAAAACGGTTATTATTCTATGCTTGATAGTTGGTTTTTTACCCTTTTATCTGGCAACAAAACTGACACCTTTTTTATAAGGAGTCATGTTTGCATAGACCACAATACCTGCAGTCATAATGCAAACAAAAAACATAACTCTGATAATGTATGCGCTGTCCTTGAAGTTGATTGGTCCACACCCGAGACAGCTTTCCTTAGAGCCTAGTCTCACATGGTGTTGGACCAGATGACGCCAAAAGGCGCGCCAGATAAATGGGTAAAAAAACAATTATCATATTTTGCTACTGGCAAATGAGGTTCCAATGGTATTCTATGCTTGTTTACTTAAGAAGGCATCGCTCAGCCCTTGCCAAGTTTTTCGCAGTCCGAATGATCATTGCTGTGCATATTCCAATTGGGTAATTTGTGGGAAATGCAAATTATTCAATTGGAATGTACATAACCATCAAAATGAAGGTGCGTCCTCGACATATCGTGTTCTGCATATAATGGGGTTTTGGGGGAGACACCTGAAAAAAAACAAGGAAATAACGAATATCCATAATAGATTGTTTTGGGTTAGATCGCGTAAATAAAAACGTTGTGTCGTTAAAACCGCCACCACCCGACACGGCCAATTAGGAAGATTTGGTCAGGTAAACAAAACACATTCCTGCGGAGGGAGCTGGTAGGAACGTTGGGTTGTTCGGTCAATGGCCCGGGGTAAACGGCGGCGTGGTGTATTCCGCAAATATGCCCGACTGAGGGCGGGCACAAGCCGGCGTGAGTAGGTTAAACATTGAGTTTTATAAGGGCACCACGGGGTGACCAGCCCCTCCCCACCCAGCCCCACCCCTCCTACCCTCCACCCAACCCCTCCCCACCCAGCCCCTCCCCACCCAGCCCCACCCCTCCCATTTTTGGATGCACGACGAACGGACGGACACAATAATCCCCTGTGGGCTGGTGTAACCAGGAGGTTCCTACCAGTAACATGCCAATTCTTTCCCAGTACAGCACACCGGTGTTTTGGAGAGTAAAACCCACAACATTTACAATTATGAATATCGCACTCCCGAATCTCAAAAGCTGATCGGCATGCAAGGCGATACCGACTTGTTGTTAAATGCGTCTCCAAGTCGGGCGGAAACGTCATGGTCCAAGCCAGTCCCAGTTTACCACTGTGCTGTACCAGTCGTCACCGTGGTAGTGGTGGGTCGTGCATTTTCAGAGGCTGGTGGACAACTGCGACACGCTGACAAAGACGTGAGCTCCCACACTTGCCTTCGACAGACAGCGACGGCGAAATAGAACATATCGAGCATGCGAATGAATGGGGCTCGACCAGGAAGCTGGGCTTGTCCTCTGTATCGATCCAGTTAGTTAATAGACGACAGTGAAAGGGGGAAGTTGGTTTATTGTGAAGGTCGCAGGTAACAGACGCCTTTCGCAGTTGATTGACACGTGTAAACGGTGACACGTGACCCCGCAGTTTCATTTATAATAATAAAATGATTGACTTATCCAGGAACGCCAAACTGAGTCGTCGTAGTGGGTCCTGCATTGGGTTTGCATTTTAAAACGAATGTCTATACACGCTGGAGGAAACCGGAGCACCCGGAGCAAAACGACGCGCGCAAGGGAGCAACACTCTATCCCCGTACAGATGCAAACAGATGGCGACGAATCAACTCGCTGTGCTGCTTTCTCCCGGACGAGCCAGGGGCACGGGGCAACCTCCTCAACATCCACAGGAAGCGAGTTTTCACAACATCCGTGCAAGACCACCAAACACCCTCGCCCTCCACACACAGCGCCGGCCGCACAGTGCCTTCCACACACTAGTGCCGGCCTCACACGGCGTACGCCAACATCGCGCCCCTATTTACCTGCACGACCTTGCGCTTCATAGACGCCACACACAGCTGCACGCAGAACGCCTCCGTGCCGACGGGGTTCTCGTTGAGGCAAAACGCCGCCACGCCGCGCAGCCTCGCCGCACCGCTCACGGCCGCGTCTCCGAGCGCATCCATGTCCACGACGCGTAGGCAGCCGTCGGCCCACAGCACCAGCAAGTGCCCGAGCGCCGAGGCTGCGCGCAGGCAGGTGGCCGACCCCGCCTGAGGCATCGGCGGCGCCGGCCGCGAGCAGACGAGGCGAGCGCGGGCGGCGCCTTCGGGCATCGCGAGGCGGTGCAGCATGCCGCTCGCGGCGCCCGCGTACAGACGCTCGCCGCTTCGCTCCAAGCTCACCACGGCGTCCGCAGGCGGCAGGTCGCCTCGCTCCGTCACGGGCACGAGGGAAAATGCGCGCACGCTCATGGTGCGGCTTGTAAGGGAACGACTAGGGGCTGGTTCGAAGCGAAGCTTTGGGTCGGGGAGGGGGGGGGGGTTAATCTCCTGCCTTACCGGGCAGGGCGCACCCCTCGCCCGTTAGGGCATTCAGGCAAATGGGTAGGGCCCGTGAGAGCGAGGTAGGCCGCAGCCGCCGCCACTTAGACGCGAGGCGGGGCGCGGCGCTCAGCCGACGCGGCGCGCTCGAGGCGGCATGGCGGCGAGGGCTTCTCGCACCGCGGTGTCCGCCCGCCTCGCCGCTCTTCGCGAGGCCACGGCGAGGTGGGGTTGTGAGGGTTGGGGGGAGGTCACCGAGACGGAACGTAAACACGGCCGGTGAGCTGTGATGGTGGGAGTGGTAGGGGTGGGGGTGACGTCATAGTCACGTGCGGCTCTACCGGACGTGACGACGACGACGCGCCACGTGCTGTTTGGACAACTTTAATATATATACGGAGTGGTAGCTCCTGTAATTTCTCATTTGTCATTTACGTGATACAGCTGTCGGGCTGTGACGGTTCCACCTGAAGACGGAAGCTTGTGTTGCCTCCGAAGCGTCGTGATTTTTATTAATTTAAATTTTTTACCTACGTGACTTTACCGAAAAAACCTAAGAATATGAATCCTTGCAGTCACGAAAGCTTCAAATCTAGAATCAATTTAATGAGTTTGTATTTAGGGGCTGGAGGAGGAAGCCGATGAGATGTAAAGCTCTTTGGGTTGTTGTTGTTTTACAGATGTCCGGTAAGAGCGGCAACAAATAATACAAAAACACGATAGGAGTGGGAAAGAATAGGAAAGGTAAACAAATCACTTGAAATAAATATTTTAAAAAACAGATAAAGCTAAGCAATTTTTTATATACTCTTGGTTCTTTCGGTAAAGTCACGTAGAAGGGAAAAAATAAAGTAAATATCAAACAATACAATTCTCACTTGTTTATTATTTTATTATTTCCCTTCTACGTGACTTTACCGAAAGAACCAAGAATGTGAATCCCTGCAGTCACGAAAGCTTTAAATCATTTTTTTATATCTTATCAGGTAAAGCCCACTGAGGTATTAACTTATTTTTCACAAGCGACCTGGCTAACACAAATGATAGCCCAACAAAGGGGCTTATCGTGTTGAGATGTATAGCGCCCAAATCCTCGAAGTAACCTCAATTGGGAGATGAAGCACGGTGTTAGACTTTTGAGTTGACAACTGACCGGGGGTTGACCCGAATAGTCCAGGAATTTGTTGGCATCCGTTGTGTTCTCGCGAGGCAGAAATGTATGATTTGTCACCGAGATCTGATAGAGGACCAGGGTGTTGCGTTGAAATTTGTAACAGTCAAATTGCACAGTTGTGACAAACTTGGGTCGAAAAGGTGGCAACCATGCATAGGGGTGCGTTGCTGTGTAAACATCGCCACTTGGGAGACAAAGGCGTCTGGACGTGTTGTTGGCCACCCATCCCGTGGTGTGCCGTGCACCAACAGTCTGTTAAGGCGACATGAGGAATGTTTACATTACGACTGCAGGTATTGTGGTCTATGCAAACATGACTCCTTGTAAAAAAAGGTGTCAGTTTTGTTGCCAGGTAAAAGGGTAAAAAATCAATTATCATATTTTTTACTGGCAAATGTGGTTCCAATGGTGTAAATGCTTACCCCGAGCTCTCATACTCTGATGGTACATTGTCTTTGAGTTGTGCGCCTTTTGGCGTCATCTGGTCCAACCCATGTGAGACGAGGCTCTAAGGAAAGCTGTCTCGGGTGTGTACCAATCAACTTCAAGGACAGTGCACATACATTATCAGAGTTATGTTTTTTGTTTGCATTATGACTGCAGGTATTGTGGTCTATGCAAACATGACTCCTTGTAAAAAAAGGTGTCAGTTTTGTTGCCAGAGAGAAGGGTAAAAAACCAATTATCGAATGTGTCTTGGTTATGTCTTCTCCTCTGCATGTACGGAGGACCTCCTTCAAGACAATGGGGGCGATTAACTTACGCTTATTGTGGCACCAGTTCAGAAGGGCGGTGAAGGTGCAGCCATGCAATTTCTCTCCGACGACCCCTGCTAGCGGCATTAAGAGAGTAACCTCACGTGCACTCACTTCACTCGTGGGTTTCCGTAGCCGATATAATGGGATTCGTAATTATAGGGTTTCGGCCACTGGTTCCTGGTACAACCCCCCCCCCTTGTTGAATTTCGTTTCAAGTACCCCCCCCTCCCTGGCCTGACCCCAACATGGTTCTGATAAATTAAATTAATGAATAAATGAACATCGATATTTTAACCCAATTGTCCAATTTGTGAGCTCGTAACTGCAAGCGATCAAATTCAACAGACGCTCTGCACGCGTGATGTAATGTTGTTGGCGCTCGCTGTTTACTCTGAGAAACCAAACATTGCTTACAATCAATAACACTATGAGACCTCCTTTACTAGTGGCAAAATATAGTAGGTTTTTACCCTTTAAACTGGCACAAAACTGACTTGTATAAAGGTGTCAGTTTTGTACCAGTTTAAAGGGTAAAACCCTACTACTACGATCAATAAGTTTAGAAAAGGCATTTAACATCGTTCATGGTTACCATATTGATTCACATTTGATAGCAGTTATTTGATATTGCCAGATTCATACATGAGTATTCACCATTCTCGTGTCTGATATAATTTCGCACGTTTCTAAATCTCATCACGTACCCCCTGGGACATTGCCACGTAACCCCCAGGGTTCCACATGGACCCCGGTTGAGAACCACTGGGTTAGGCTACGAAATTAACTCACTAAATCAATGTTACTTGGAACCCTCCACTACCCCAACACAGCCAATGACATTGTCACGCGTACAAGGATTTAACGCGCAATTTATCCAACGACAATTCTCACAACCAGATTTAGCAATACCTCTAGTGGGTATTTGGCCTACTCTTCTACTACGCTGATCAGACGTCTTGGAAGTGGTGGGCGCAGCCACACGTTGCAGTCCTCCACCACACGCCACCTGCCGGTCAACTGTGGCGTTTACCAATGGATATTTGCTGGGTGGACAGAGGTTTTTTGCATTTTAAAACAAGTATAACCCGTAAAAACAAAGTTTTTCACTATAAATCCTTTATATGCGTGGCGGCTAGAGTCCTCTCGTCCTCTGGCTTGAGATGGCTGCCACCTATGGGTCAGATGATTGTCTGCCACCATTAAGCAATTGGTAATTAAATATTTAAATTTTTTCCCTAAACAGTGTAAAATTTAAGAATTTTTTTTCACGAAAATTAATTGTCACGCACAACGAGTCTGTGTGCAAAATGTCAGCTCGATTGGATCACGGGAAGTGGGTTAAAAAACGACCGAAAGATTTGCACGGTCGTAAGCAAGCAAGCACGCAAGCAAGTGAACTTAATATAAAGGATTTAAAAAAGCTGTCTGTCTGTCCATTATTTCAACCGTCGCGCCAGGAGATCGAACCGGTGACCTCTGGATTGTAAGCCCAGTGTGCCAAACATGACATCACGCCAGGGACCCTCGACACTAAATGCACGGTTGTGTTATTGGGTAGCAACACCTTTTTAGCCTGCAGAGAAAAAAAAAACACACTGACCGATAGCTAAATATACCCGCGTCTGGCGAATGGGGGGAGGAGGCTGGTCTGCTGTTTCTGGGCCGTGGAGCTGCTGCTGATGATGATGGTGGTGATGGTGGTCGTGGTGGTGGCCGCGGGAGGCAACTCAGGGTTCACAGAGTCACGAAAACAGTGGCTCATCAAGCATCAGCTCACATTCTCAAGGCCAGTGAACATTCGCTCAGTAACATGTCTTGATCTCTCCCATATCACCTCTATATCTTTCTCCAAAGCATCTAAATCATGGGTGGAAAAAACCCGATTTTTCCAGCGGCAGGCATCGGGTTTTTTCTTTAATACAATTAAACCCGATTTTAGGGAATTAAAACCTGGTTTATTGAATACGAAACTCTGATAGGCTTCGGGCTGCTTCCTCGTCGGTGCTGCTATCGTACTCGGGGGGGCCGTCGGGCACGGGGTAGTCGTAGAATGCGGCGGGCAGGTTGGTCGTGATGAACACGAGATTCTCCACAATCGTGGGCGCCAGTGAGTACCTTAGCTTGGAATGGATGAAGCCCATCGTTGAGAAGTGCGCTTCTGCAATTAGAACCAATTAAACCGGATTTCTCACAATCTCATGATCGGGTTTAATATAAAAAGACAATTAAACCCGATTGTAAAAACACCCGACTGTGCCACCCTTGATCTAAATGACTCCCGTGGTGGCCAACCCCCTTCTGCCCTCTGCGAAAACACATGTTGCTCCGTGTCGCAGCTTCGAGGACCTTGTGTAGCCTCTTCCTCCCTGTCCTCATCTTATTTTTACCATTTCTGCAGTTTTTCTATTCCCTTTAAATAATTTTCCTCTTATTTGCCATTCTTTTTCTCCCCAATCTCCCGCTCCCATTTCCACGCCTTACGTTTATATCCGTGTGGACTCTGCTCCCCTTCCAGTGGCGTAGCAGGGGCACAACAAAGTTGCTTGTTACAAAACCAACAACACTTCGCTCTCCTCTCTATCTTAACTCATCTTGACCACTGCTCTATTTATGTCCGCATCGCACTTCCATCTATATCTCTGCCGTCATCTCATCAGGATGTTATACATATCAAAGGGGCAACTGTGGATGGAGGGCAAAACATTAAATGTTCGGTAGGCGGTGGCCAGTGGGCCCATCACTAACCATTGGTGGTGGCGATGCACGGAGCTAATTGGTTTGGCCGTCTCGAATGGGCTGGCTAAGCCGGGGGCGGGGAGAGGAAGGGGGGGGAGAACCGAGATGGGAATGGGACCCCTGCTGACTCTGCGTGGGCCATTTGAAAAAAGTCACCTAGCCACGAGGTTTAGGATTTGCTTTTGTAGGACAATGTCCACGGGCTGTCCACGCTACACACACAGAGGCTCTTGTCGATGTGTGTGTGTGTGTCGCGTGTGAATGCGCGCAGATGGACAGCTGTGCCCACGTGGCTCTGGTCGTGTGAGAGTCGTCGGATGGGTACTTTTATTTTTAAACTCTGAAGGAAATTACAAAAATAAACGCGGGCCGAACTCTCTAGTCCGCTCGTCTTTCAGCTGTTCGTGCTGCACAGCCAACAGCAGCAGCAGCTTCAGTATCAGCAGCAGCAGGAGTATCATTCGCAGCGATATCATTCAGCAGGGAGCAGTAATTGCAGCATTCAAGTATTAACATCGCCTGCGGGAGCAATATAATCCTTAGTGGCAGCAAAGGCAGCCTCATCAGGATCATCAGCAACAGCAGAATCAGCAGTATCAGCAGTATCATCATCAGTAGCAGGAGCGGTAGCATCAGTAGCAGTATCATCACAATTGCATTGCACGCAGCAGCAGGGGTTAGTATTTTGAAGCCAGCAGCAGCATGACAAAGTTTCCGTGATCACCACACTGCAGTGCCACCCCGAGGCAAACCGATTTGCCAACTTTCATCAACAACCGAGTGGTGTGTATACAAAGCGTGGGTGCCCCATAGCCTGCAGCACGGCGTTACAACCGGACACAAAACCCGATTGATTCACTCACAACGACGCCTTCTTCAGCCACGCGTTAGCTAATTGAATGTCGAGCAACCTTTGAGAAGGAGGAGGAGGAAGAGGGAGCGGTGTGGCGTGGCACTTTTGCACATTGTTCCCGCTGAGATCGGGTCACGGATCTTCAAGAAGAAGAAGACTCAAGTCGAACCACCCTCCGCATCTCCTCCTCTTCTTCCGTGAAGGAGATACCCTTTCTCCCTGCTGCTACCAGCCTGCTCCACCTTCTCCCGGACCATGAGGTGACCCAGTTCGTAGGGTCTCGGACCCTGGGGGTGGCCGACTACAACCCCCGGATCTCTGTACCCCATCCTCATCCCTCATCCTCATCCTTAACACACCCCGGGTGACCCCCTGTACCCTCCAGCCCGACAAGCCCCTTTGCTGGAGGCTTTAGCCTGGGACTCAACAATGGAACGGTGGCGAGATGGCTGCTGCTGGGATGACACTTTGGTGGTGAGTGTTGTTGTTGTTGTTGTTGTTTTCATGTCAATAACGCGCACTAAACGTTACCCCCTCCACCTCCCACGTCTTGGTGAACGTTTGTTGATGAATCTTGACTTTCAGCTTTCGTGACTGTAGGAATTCATGTTCTGAAATCTTTAACCGCCTCTACGGGGAGGGTTTCCATGCAACGTTGTTATTTTCTTTGTACCTATCTATCTTGCGTGACTTTACCGAAAGACCCAAAGTCATATTTGTTGATACATTTTGCAGAAGCAGACTATTAGAAACATCAAGTCGGTGCTCGTGGGAGAGAATCGATTCAGAAGATAATTTGTGGCCAGGAACCACGGCTGGCCGCCTTTTGCTTCCAGCAGTGTTGTTACGTGGTTTACACACACACACAGCAAGGTTGTAGTTTGTGTGTTTATTTAAATTGTCATTTTTAAAAAAAAGTAGTTTTCGTCGTGTTGAGGATTTCTCTCAATTACAGATTTGTACTTAAAAGTCGCATCACCCTCCCCAGGACATTAGCACGATTTGTATGAATGGACTTGATATTTCAAGCCAACTTGACCCAGAACTGGTTCTGATATCACCAGCAATGCTAGTGTCACTAATTACAAAGATCCCCCGTGTAGCCTTAACAGACTGGTGGGGCAAGTGCTGTTAGCGAGCACCTATGAAGGCCGGCACGGCACACGGAAGGTGGTGGGTGTAACGACAGCACGCCCGGCCGCCTTTGTCTCCCCAGTGGCGATTATTACACACCGCACCAGGTGTAGTCATTTAAAGCCGAGTCGACCTAGGGGAGGTCCAGGACCGGTTTAGATAATCGTCGCTGGGTGTTGGCCGTGATCGGGAATCGAACCCGGGTCAGGTTCGTAGCGCTACCCCCTACACGACCGCTCTCCACCCAACATGTGTGTTACGTGTTTGTGTAACACACACACACACGTGGGCCACGTGTGTACAGTGCTATACATGCAGTAAGTAGCAACATATCGGGACTTTTCGCCCGTATAAGACAGACTAGAGAATTCCTTTACACCACAGCCTGAAAATCAGTTCTGTACACGTGCCCTTAATAGTGGTAGGTGTAGGGTGGGCGAGAAGTCCCTATACCACAGTCTTAAGTACAATCCAACTCGCGCACACTTACCTTGAGATTGGTGGTACGACGCGCACGTGTGTGCGTGGAGATTGCGTAACGATCAACAATTACAACGTTTTCTTAATTAATCGCTCCATATAATTGTCCTAGGGTATACACGGATCGCGCTGGATTGTACACAAGCATTCTCCGCTATCGAGGGAGGCTTCATTCAAATGGGATTGGCTCCAACCGATCGATCAATCGGCTGATCGATCCGTGCTAGTTGAGTCACATCGCGTCCCAAAGCCCCGCGGTAGAGCGGTCAAAAAAAAGTTTTCACTCGACGCATTTCGTTGCTGCTGTTGTGATGTTTTCTTGCGTGTGTCGTACAATTCTCGTCCACGTGGTTGTTACTGCCTCCGTCCAGCAAAGTGGATTTTATTTATTTATTATCGTGGCCTCGTGGGTGAATTGCAAAAGTTGCCGTTCTACCCTCGGTCTAAATGGCTGGATGTTGCTGCAGCAGTAACAGCAGCACACGTGGCTGGAGAGTGGTCGGATTTCTTTGTCCAGACCTCGTATTGTTTATTTGCTGTTTGCTCCGTGTGTGTGTGTGGACTGGCCTTTGAATTGCGTTAGAGGGCGCAGTGTCTCTCGTGTGTTGCTGCTGCTGCTCCTGTGTGTGTGTGCGCTTTGTAGGGCACCAATCAGGGGCTTGTCACTCGAACAATCCGTCAATTGGCAACTCAAAATAATCATCAGCCCGCTTTATTGTGAAGAATATTAAAATAATAATTAATAAGCAGACGTTTGCTAAATGTATTTCCCACGGCCTCCTGGGAAGCGCATCATTGTAAATGTTGTGGATTTGCTCTCCAAAACACCGGTGTGCTGTACTAGTAACGAATTGGTATGTTCTGTTTACATGACAAACCTTACTAATTGGCTGTGTCGGGTGGTGGCGGGTTTAACGACACGTTTATATCGACGCGATGTAACCCAAAAAACAATTATTCAAGCGCGTCATTTTCAGCAGCATTCATTCAGCACGAGCAAAACCCTGGACCGGTTTCGGCACAAGAGGCTCATCGGCAGAGGCAGGCTTGCTCGGTGAACTACTGCCCAACTTACGGGCATGGATCCTCCCCCCCCCCCCCCCCCACGTCTCTTTTACTCTGTGTGGCTCCTAGCTTTATGGAAAATAATGTGATCCGAGAAAACCCTGGCTCTGCTGGCGAAGGGACAATTTGTGTCGAATTCCAGTCCAGAGTTTTTGCTCGCGTTGAATCAATGCTGCTCTGGGCAGGTCATGCGGAGGATGATGGGTCGTGTAAGAGACGCATTTATTTTTTACGTGAAGGGACGGGCATGTGGTGGAGACGTTACTTATTTGTGTTGTCAGTTGTTCAGCTAACCTATGCAGTTGTCAAATAAATAAGAAGACAATACGTTCCATATTCTTGGGTCTTTCGGTAAAGTCACGTAGATAGGCTCAAAGAAAATAATCAAAAACAACAGGAAACTACGACGTTTCAATCGAAATAATCGATCGAAATGTCGTAGTTTTCTGTTATTTTTTATTCTTTTATTTGAGCCTATCTACGTGACTTTACAGAAAGACCCAAGAATATGAATTCCTGCAGTCACGGAAGCTTTAAGTCAAGACAATACGTCCCCTTAATATCTATGGTTTTATTTACATTCTCCACAATGACTCTAATCATAACATTTTTATGATTTTGAGTTAAACTAGGACCCTTAATCTTAAAAACAGGGTCCTTGATTAGAGCCGACTCCACTGATGAGACACTGTGTGGTGTGTGGAATTGGGCCCAGTGTTTGCTTGTATTGAATCAAAGCTGCTGATATCACGTGAAATTACGCACCGATGGTTCTTGCAAAAAAAGAATACTTACATTTTTACGTGGCAAGACAGATTTACGCAGGAGAATTATTGTCTCATTTTGTTATTTTCTTCGGAAGGACACGAAAGATGTTATATGGTGCACATTAATCGAATGCCGTGTGTCGTAGAATTAGTTTTTGTTAAATGACGACTGGGTAAGCCCGGTAACCGGTTCCCATAGTCCGACCTCAGTGGAATTTTAGCGATGATTGAAGACACAGATTTGCACTCACAATCGTACAAATGGCAATATCGTTTGCCCTCGGTCCTCCGTTAGACGGGCAAAGGCGCAAGCCCTGCAGTAGCTCACTTTCTCACACCGCACAGGAAGCGTGCGGAGCCGTAGCCCCTGTGTTGAGTGGCACGCGTGTAAGCCGGTGCGGGTAGGGACTGTTGTGGCGCTGGTGTTGCCATGTTGCTGTTGGCCTTTCTGGGAAACGTTCCATGCCCCTAAGGTGTTTTTTTTTATAGCTCGGGGTTTGGATGGGGGGCAGGGGGGGCAGAGAAAGGGGGGGGGGTGTTCAGGGTCATTGTTTGTTTTGGGGGAGTCAGCTCTTGTGTACATGAGCAATTTTGGCATTTGACGATCTGTTTAGGTACACCACAACACCAACACAGGCACTCCTCTACTTACGAACACTCAACTTACGAACTTCCAGAGGTACGAACAAACATGTCCGTATGTCCAGCTGCCTGTGCGGACCGAGAGTCGTAAGTTCAACCACCGCACAATAGACGGCGGAGGCAGCGTCTACGTCTGCAGGAGATTGTACAACTTTTAAAGCCATTCCCTGTGGTTAGTGTACACGCCGTACAACACGTTTGGATTCGACAGGAGTAAAGTTGGACTTGAGAACAAGACGACTGACGAACAGATCCCTGGAACCGAACTCGTTCGAAAGTAGAGGAGTCCCTGTGATGAACAGATGGCCACAGCCATCTCGAGATGTAGACTGATGTGGTGTGTTGGTTTTGGAACAAACTTTCCAGTCACCGTATCAGACGGACCCAGCTGAAAGTAATCCCCGTCAGTGATGTTAATTATAAAATATGGACACACGCAGCACTTTTGTCAGTCCACTCCCGGATGACAGCCTGTGCAGGTCAACGAGGGCCATAGATGTGGAAACATAGAACTACAGTACAACGTTGGAATTACCTGCACTGTTCTCTACCACCCACCGCGAAGCTCTGTGACAACCTCTTTGTGCATGGCGGTTGCTCATCCACGCACTGCCGAGGCTCAGCGCTGCTTGGCTTGCAAATGTTGATGATATCAGGGGGCACTCTGGGCGATTATTCCACAAGCAGTGGTGGAAGTCAGAGGTCGCAACCGGGTACCCGATACCCGTACCCTACCCGATACCCGACTACCCGTACCCGGCCGGGTACGGGTAGCCGTTTGCGACCCTGGTGCGGCCGGGTACGGGTAGGCTGTGAGTCACTGGTGAGTAACCGTTTGTCACTCATTTCGGGTAGGGTACAGGTAGGGAACAGGTACCCGTACCCGGCCGGGTACTGGTACGGGTACCCATTTGTGACCCTGGTGTGGCCGGGTACGGTTAAGGAATCAAAACCCGTTTGCGACCTCTGGTGGAAGTGTGGATGTAGGAGCCAGGGTATGAACCCTCTGCGCCCTGCAGCAGCAGCAGCCCGTGTTTACGCACTGCCACTTCCCATCTGCGGAGACGTCTCAGCATACGAATATGAATCATTCCGAACAGTGCCGGTATTCATGCTCGGTGTATCTGAGAAGTGCCGGTATGGAATACCATCGCCTGCCGGCCACATTTCAACCACTGGTCATAGGCCAATAATAATATGAACGTGACTTGTTTATCCAAGAGAGCCTCACCAAATATTAATAAAAAATTGGAAGGATCCTGCATTGGGATATTCGGCAGATTTCCTTTTGCGTGGCGAGTGTGAAACCCAATGCGTAGAGATGATAAAACTGAGAGGTCTGCACAGACAATTTATATTAACCCACTCGCTGTACTGCCATCTCCT